TTCCAAAACTTATTGAAATCCACTCACAGCAACCTTATGCGTGTTCGTGTGCTAGATGATGAGCTACACTTGTTGTGTATTAGGCTGCCCAAACCTCAGTAGGTGGAGCGGGGCTGGAAGTCGTGATCGCCGGTTCTAAATTCAGTGCCTGGATTAATCAATGAGCCACAAACCCATTTTTCTCAAATCAAAGCCAGTTGAAGCAAATTCATCAAGCTTTCTTCATTACATGACGTCTACTGTGGAATGAACAAAGAATTTCAGTGCAACCGATGAGCTGTATTCACACGGCAACTCCTTAGGAACTTTGATGATTGACGTCAAATCTAAACATGATTAGTATTACGGTCATACAGATTACTAGGTAGATAACCGGTTGTTTTGTCGCAGTAAGAGACTCCTAGGAAAGAGGTAGAGAAATATAGGCCACTGGATCCCAACACAGTGGTTGGATGTTAACGTGCTCGCTGTGAGTCATGACGGCCCCGGGTTTGATCCCTGGTGGGGTCGTTGGCGCGCACTGCTGAGTGCAAAAATAGGACGAAACAGGTGTCCAGTGCTCTCAAATTTTTAGGCATCCTTCAACTGATGTCAGTTTGTGGTGAATACTGCCTTAAAATAGGTTATCCATTGGCCAATAATCTCTCGTTTAATGTATCATTTTCCATATGGTTCTTAGGCTTTAATATTGTAATCCAATATTGTATTCTCTTTTTGCCTGATTCCATACCAGTTGACCGTTATCACTTTCGGCGTTGCTATACACCCTACTTCTGCGCATTCTAATAAGCAGCTCTCACTAGGCAATCACTGCACGGGTAAACCTGGTCTTTCAACTGAGGCTACCTGACGGTTATAGTAACTAGATTAATTTGAAGGCAGTTACCATTGTAAGCTGATATCAAATGAAAAGTCACTGGGATCCAAGAAGCGTTATCCGAATACTTAACACTGTTGAACTATCTACTAGTGACACTTAGCGACTCATAATGGTGGTGAGGCCAGAACTTTCAATCTTCCGTTTTCACTAAGATCTTGTGTTTACTAATGCAGTCTGGGTTACGACTCCTTTCCCCAAAAAGGGATTCATTTAGATTATTACACATTCGGCTAATACAAACCTATTATGAAGTGATGACTAGATCTTTTATCTTTTGAATGAAAAAAGAATAAGGAAATCTGACCAATGAATTTCTGCTGGCGGTGACAATTTCACTTCATTGAATTGTAAGGCATAACACAAATGTTATTTTCTTCTTTCAAAGAGTAAGATAACTAGATCAGCTGAAAATACGTTTCGATTTTCATATATACTGTTTCAACTAGTATTTTACACAATGGCTCGATTTGGTTGCACCGTAGTTGTCTTTTTCTTATCCAGACCGATTTGAACGCATGGCTAATTCACGCCAGGCGTAATTAAAGTACACTTATAAAATCCACAATACATGGCAAAATGTGTCAGCTTACACAAATCAATAAGGCCGTTGTAGTAGACAGTCAACCAATCAGAGATCAGAACGTTAATGAGTTGATTGGATAATAAGCTGTTAATTATCGTTTAATTTTGAAGGAGTTGTGGGGATTTGGAAATATTTCAAGTTGTTATTCATCGTCCTGGTCACGGAACCTGAAGGTCGCGGGTTCGATCCCTGATAGGGTCTTGGGCGCGCACCGCTGAGGAGTCCCATACTAGGACGAAACAACTGCCCAGTGCTCCCAGGTTTCTTTTGTTCCTCCAACTGATGTCAGTCTACGATGAATAACAACTTGAATTATCGTTTACATTGGTATTACTCAGACAGCATTTGCTTGATAAGTGACATCCCATTTGTGACGGGGGTGACCTGAAGATGGGTGATAAGCAGATTAATCGCGTTACATAAGCTGGAAATCTATTTAAAGACTATTTGAATGAGAGGCAAGTGAAACAACGCTTTTTCAACATAAGTTAAAATTCAATTTTGAGATTTATGGAGATTTATTTGATTTCAGGTTGGTATTCAACATGAACTGAAATTAGTTGAAAAAATATTGGAAACCTAGGAGTACTGGACGGATGTTTCGTCCAAGTACTGGACTCTTCAGCAGTGTGTATTCAGGAACCGGTACCTTCAGGTTCCACCAGGATGTTACCATTTTCTACAGATAACAATAATGAGTGCAGAGCCCCCAGAAACTACTATCTGTTGTTATTTCACATTAAAGTGAGAGGAAAATAATGTAGCACTTCAACTCCATCACGAATATCTTTAATCCTATCAGATAATCCCAGTATCATCAACAATCACATTTATATACATATAAGCAACGAAAACATTCTTTCCAATGACTAAAAACCCTAGCTCTGTTAAGGTTATTTGGCTAGACAGGGTTCAACCTATTGAGAATTCTTATCCTTCTCATCGATGAGTCACGGAGATGAGTTCATCAGCCCTTGTTGAGAGATAAGCTTGTTTTATGTATGCCTTAATATTGTCTCGAATGCAAAACAAGGTCGGTAAAGACCAAACCTTTTCAATGACAAACTAATACTCATTGAATTAAAAATAACCAATAAAACATTACATCGAACTTGAGGATTAACTCTCGTCCTCTCAATACCCTAATTGAAATATTCACTCACGACTAACATAATTCTTTCAGAGATAGTTCACAAAACAAGTTATTCCTTTAATTTAGGCGGTTTTTTCAGTAGACCGTAATGGAATGAGTGGATAATAACGATAGTCTCCAGCATCTGAATACAAGTAACCACATGTTCCTAGCCAGCACGTATTTCAACCATGAAGAGAAATCTTGTCTGACATGATGTCCATTAACCTCAGCGGAGGACACAGATAATTATCAGCTACCGCTGGAAGGTTGCCACCTTTTCTGGAACGTGTTTGGACAGTGTTCACACACCGGTTCGAGCAGGCGTATGTTGGTGCTTAAATGGGAATAAGAAAGGTATAGCAACAAGACCATTTCGAGTGCAGCCAGGTGAACAGAATACTGAGAATACAAAGAACTTGCTAGAGAGTTATGGAGATAAGACAAGTTCCCCCACCTTGGAAAAGCCTAGTAACATTCCTAATCTACTGTAAAAACAGTTCAAATCATTAACTAACCGTTAGAAAAACGTAGGAAAGAGTTCATGTGTCTCGGCAGCTTCTCCCGAGTTAATGGGTGCACGCGGATACAATACAAAAGCCTCCAGGCACAATTAGGAATGGGAGTAACTCAAATGAAGACTGACAAATAGTCTTGGCGATGATCGTGGACAGAAAAAGGTAGAGGGATGGAAAAGGCAGCAGTGGTGCGTAACAGTAGTTTAAACCTGTCGAGGAAACTGGGCTGAAAACGTCAATCGTTAGTGAGACCACGGTGGATATTGAACTACGATCCACTCGTAGGGGGAGGCGACTGGAACAATCACCGAAATACTTCGAGAAACAGTGCGACTAGCCTCTAGCTTGCATGCATGTAGCCAGGAGGAAACAGCAGTAGATCTTGGTGGGCATTTACGAGAAATACTCAAGGATGATGACAAGATTATTGGTTAGACCAACTAAAGTGCTACTCGATTAATAGGGACTAGATGTGATTCCTCTATAATTCGTCCTAATCGGTGACCGCTTCAGGAAATAAATACAGTCAGTCCAATGAGCTTGGCATCAATGCTTCTACAGTCACTAAATGCGTATCTGCAGTTTAGGAACAAACGCGTAAAATAAGCATATCTAGGACCTGGTTGTGCGGATTTACTACAACTCAAAACTTGCTGTATCGACTTGAAGGCGGCACTCAACCCCATCGACCAAGAGGTCTTAATTCAATGTCTACCATTGGAAAGGCTGCCAAGTAAGTATAACATCCTATTAAAGGGTCTAAACTTGGATATCCATGAGTGTTAGAGTTTACAGTGAAAAACCAAGTGGTTTGTCTACATTGAGTAGTGTCCCAATCCCCCCACTTCCAGTTCTTTATTAGAGATACGCTTATTTGTCCTTGTCCGACTTCATACGGGTTGAACTCGTCGCAAGAGTGTGCACATGACATAATACTGGTAGACGAATATATTAACGAAGTGCAGTCCTCTGGACACCCCTAGAGAGGGTCTGAGTAACTGGGATGTGTCCGTCACCTCCTAAATGCAAATTACATTGGCAACTGGACTGCACTAATACCTAGTTTGACAAAAACAGGGTGTAATTAAGCGCGCTAATCACTTCCCTTACTTAGGAACTATATCAGTCTTGAAAGACGGGTGACCAATGAAATCTGAAAAGATATGAAAGGTTGAATTGGCCATTCATATGAGTTATCGGACCCGCAGGATATTCGACTACCTACTAAGGGTTGGCTATACTACACAGAAGTCCTCTCTGGCCTACTATACATAAGAGTGAAAGATAGCCATTGAAGGTAGAGGACATGAGAAAGGTTGAGGTGTTCGATCACTGTTGCCGTTGTAACATAAACATGGGACCATTACTTCAGTAACTTAGGCGTGAAGGTTTCAGGGAATAGTTGACAATACTATAACCCTCAATCGACTCAGATGCCTGCATTACGAATGCGTAGTCGCCGTCTAGCCCATAGTGTGATTTTGGCTGAAGTACGTTTAAGTTGCAAAGACGTTAGAGGGGAGAAAGACTTAAACATAGCATTAGTTCATGAAGTCACTGACTGTTGGTGGTCTAAGTCGTATAGGCTTCCAGGTTGGTGTCCATAAGACAGCTAAAGTTGATAATGGTATATATTACTCAGAATTGATCGCAGATGCACATATGCATACGCTATCACGTTAACCAACACTATCGCATATCATTACTTCGTTACCCCCCCCCCTTAAATACGTCCCATGATTTTCTACGACTTCAGGTTATGTTATTTCTACTCGTTCATCTTTCGTTTTGTATCTCGATGTGAGGTGTGGCAACTTGTAACATTACATTGATCCCAAAGCTAAAAATGATATCCAACTGTAAATTCGGCTACTCAAAAACAGGATACATGAATATCAGATATACTTTTCTATTTCGTGAAAACAAACGTTAACATGTTATAACACCTCCGAATACTACTCACTTAACAAGATAAACAGAGACAAACCCCTCTCAATGGACACATGAATGACGAAGGAAACACCTTCAAAGCAAAAAGAGAAAAAAAATAAACAAACAAATAACGACCAAAACAACTAGAAAAATGAAAATCAAGAGGAACCTGCAACACAGTTATATGACAGATAGATAGATGTGGAAAAGTGTTACTGTTACTGTAAGAGAATGAAATACCCCCTTCGAAAAATTAACTTAGAAAAAAGTTTATTTCTTCTAAAAAGTGAGGCAGAAAAGCAAGTGACCAAAGCAACATGAAGTGATGTGTATATTACGTGAATGTAACAAACAGTTCACTGATTGACTGTCTAAGAAACCTTTGAACGCACTGGTGTTTCAAAAGGAGTACATATAATGTGTACAGCCAGCTAACAGATACACATGTAGTAACGAAGACATATCTGTTCAGAAAGCTGACTGAACACACACACATACGGAAAGACCTTAAAGAAGCGTGAATGGATAAGAAATGCATATTGTCTTTTAAAGAATGCTCTACTACAAGGGCAATATAATATATTTATAATTCACTGAACAACGTCTTGATCTGCGTAGAGAATATACAAAAGAAAGCATATGAAAGTATAGATGCATGACTTGGAAAACTGTGTGTACACAGACACATACACACACGTACAATAAAAGAAACAAAAAGAACAATAATAATAATAATCACAACATATGGGGACGGCATACAAATACAACTACTTGTGTGTCAGCTTGATTTGATCATTACCGACACAGTACACCGTGTGCGGTAGAAAGAATGTGAGTTGAACTACTGGTCATCACTTTTGTTTGAATATAACACAGGTGTAAAGACACACTGTTGCACAGAGCCAAAATGCAGCGACAAGAACCAGATAACGGCTATACACATATACTTTCCGAGGAAAATGACAAGAAAAAGTTGAATGAAGTAAACAACTCAACTAGAGAAGTTGAATAGCTGCGCTGGTGTACATACAAAAAAGAGACTGATATATAGATACACATATATCGCACGATATGATGATGATGGTAGTATTCAGAACCAGATTTCTCCAGTCCCTGTGAAACTACCAACGTGGATAGAAGATAAACAACACAGACGTCCACGGACAATCATGCAGAAACGAAAGTTGGTAGGTATATAAAAACACACGCATATCTGATTGAAAGATGGGGTGAAGAAACCGTAGAGTTGTATAAGACTGGGAGGTGGGGAAAGAGAAAAGAAAGGACCAAACAATCCCTGAGATGACAACATACCACCGCCTTCCCCTCCCTCTACAACGCATATGAGTCACCACATGATAGACTGTATATATGATAATAATAGTAGTATAAAAAGAAAATTAAATTAAGAAAGTGGAGAACAATTCTCAAACACTTTTCATGGTAGACTAAGGATTTGTAGGGAGTTTTGCAAAATTTATATTAACCAATATTTTTTGTTGTTGGATAAGCAGCATAACGCTTACTTATTATGTATGTAATGACGATGATGAAGCAGAGGAGAAGGTAACGGTGACCATAACAAATATATAGGACGGGGGTATGGGGGGATAGTTATGACTGAACACTCTTCTGAAAGCCGATTAGTTGCCTATCATTATGCAGTATTTTCAAATAGATTCTTCTTAACACCGGGGTTAAACATGTTCCTTTTCTGATCTCCTGTCACAAAAAGGATATTTTTGTTGTTGTTATTATTATTATTATTATCATTAAATAAAAATATTGATTTCTTGAGTTCAGTGGATTTGTATGAGTAAGTAGTATTTGCTGAAAAAGGTTGAATTTTCAAACAGATAAAGGGCGAGAAATTACTACTACAGTGGTGTTGTACAACAGCTGTCGCGAGAGATCTCAACAAATAAACTAAACATATGTGGAATTTGATCAGGGTTCGAACAGCAGTGGAAGCAACCATTCATCTTCTTCAACCGGTCTGTAAATAGATAATAGCAAAACAAAACAAATGGATATTAAATACTTTTATAATATTCATTAATACACAACTATCCTCAGTTAAAAATTGATATATAACAAACCGTGATAGTTGAAATTTGGAGTAGTAATAGTAGTAAAGTAAGAGTAAGTCAGTTGAACACTGAATCGGGGGTCAGTAGTGTGAGTAAGCATGGTGTGTGCTTTGTACCATCGAAGTACAAAGTACCTTCGCAAGATTGACAGGAGACTGCGCTTATCGGCGATGGTCACCCGTTGGAAGTAATCGAAAAGTCCATAATACCCAGGTAGTTGTGTGAGTGCTGGCGGAGGTATGAGTGATAAAATTTCTAACCATATATCGAAAGCCAGTGGTATACGCTAATCTGGGCCACCTTTGATGCCATCGTGACGTTAGTCTGACCATAAAAGGTCGGGTTTACAACGTTCCACTCCAAATAGTTCTACTCTACGCCTGTGAAACTTGGTCTCTGCAAGCTGAAGATGTGTGACAACTGTTTTCAGTCATCGTTATCTCCGCAGGATTGCTCGTATCCGGTGGCAACACCATTTAAGTAATTCTGAGGTACCACGGTATGAGTTTGTGTATGATGGAAATCGTCATTCAATGAATAAAGTCATGCAGAAACATCAGCGTTAGTGGCTTGGCTTGGATATGTGTCGCGTATGCCGCCCCAAAGGCTTCCATACCGTTCACTGCTTGTTAACCCTGGCACTGAATGGAAAAAGCAGAGGGGTGATTAGGGTATGACGTAGCACCGTATGATCAAGGATAGTTATATCGGGTTAGCGCCTATTGGTGCATCACTACTCCTTGGGTGGGCGTCCAAGAGATTACACAACTCGGTGACTTGAGACGTTAGAAGATGCAGGTCATAACCAAAACCAGTGGTGGGCATGCTGTTAAGAAGAAATGAATATTTGTTTTGAATGCATCTTACTGGACTACCTTTCTAATCCACTTCCTTTCACTTTGTATCTTCATAATGTTAGATTATTTTGTGTGGCGCATTACTTGGTGCCCTTGATGTAACATGTTTGTGTTTCAATAGCGATAATACAACATCTGTACATATGTATAATATACAATTGAATGAGAACGATCATAATGAACATTCAAGGCGAATACCAATCATTCTTATCTCTTCAGATGATAACTCTCAATAATTTCTTTTACGGTGGTTATGTGTAATCAAATATGATTTACATATCCTGTATTCCATTCACAATCAGACACCTCTTGATCGAGTCTTAAATGCTCTTTAAGTCAAGAAATATAGCAAGCGTGTGGGGCGTCGGAAAGTATGTTTGTGTTCTAGAACTTATCAAAAGGTGATCGCATAACTCCCTTCTCATCTCAAGGTCAAGTAAAACAAAGTTGTTTAAGACCACCGAGATGACATTATATCATCATCAATATCAGTATGGCACCAGGGACTACTGAGCAACGGTCCACGTTGCCATCCTTCATATCAGCATACCAAGTAACAAAGCGGTAAGATGAAGAAATAAAGAATCTATCAAAAGCAGTACAGATGAAAGAGGGAATGAGAAAGTGATGAATTCAGCACAGCGATTACGATTAATAAGATAATGTATGGATACATCTGAGCGACTCACATCGATTCTCAGTCATATTGCCTAGTCTTCAACCACTGGTTTCTCTTGTCTTATAGACCCTAACCGGCTAGTTCGCATCGCCCTATATGGTTCAAACCGACAGTCAAGGACTTCATGCACTGATGCCATGTTTTAGTCTGGTCGCTTCAAGCCCTTTTCCACCCTGAACCTACTTCGGTCAACATTGTGTGACAAGGCGGTCGGTGGCTAGGCATACGTAACACATGTCCCAGCCATGAGTCAGTGAAGGTTCGCAACCGCATTAACCATCTTACCTCTCTTGCCTAAAACTTCATGTCTGGCTTCTGCGTTACAACAGGAAACACAGCATATGCTACGAAGGCAACGGTGATCAAACACCTGAAGGATTCCCATATCTTCTACCTTTAATTATATCATATTCAGCTATAAAAGCCTATAAATGAGTTCAGATTATGTTCTTCTCTGAAATAAGGTTCCAGTCGAAAAATGTTTCATGTACTTCTCGACACAGTCACTGTTGCAGCTGAACTTGTTTGTCAAGTTGCTACTTATGGATGAGTTAAATGTGAGCACAAATACTTGCTGACGGAAATGCATAATCGTGCTATAAAGGCGAATTGACAAGAGTAGGGAAATAACGACCATTAGTTGTTCGCCCAGTGGTGGGGTGGTAGGTAAAGTGCTGACTAAAGGATGTCATATAGCTGAGTGTGATGCCTGACATGGGAGTCTGTGTGTGTGTTTGAATGTGCACTGCCGAGAAGTCTTAAACCAAGATGTGGTACCCATACAAGTTTTCATTGGATGTCGTCAGTTCGTGATGAAAACTACTTTGAAGCGACATTAAAACCTTTGTCCGTAAGAAAACCAACTCAAAGAACTCCCTTCAATATATTTTAATATTACAGTACTAAGCCAACACTTTCTCTTGTTGCGTATGGAATTCATTTGCACCAGTGGGAAAAGTAAAGTTATGCACATCATGATAAGGTAGAAAGTTCCCCGACAGCTTAGTTAGCCTTTGAAACATCATAGTGCACAAACAGTTTAGTACAAGGACAGCCACAACAATATCAACATACTAGACAGAATATCAGTTTATAAAAACTTACTCATAATCTTCAGAGATAGTATCTAATGGTGTAGGACTGGAATAACCAACACGAAAATTACGTCTGGTTACAGGTAAACCAGGTCGCCTGCGATTAGGTGGCAGAGGATCATGGTAATATAATTCATACAGTTGACCGACAAGGTTAGCACATTCCCACACATCAAACCAATCAACCTGGAATGTATCATTAAAATGTATCAAATTATAAAATATGAAGTGTATCTTTAAACTCGTAATAGCATGAAGTTAAAACATATATTGACTTTAAGACGACAGAAAGATGAATGACTATATGGTGGCACTCGAACGAAACGCACTCAGCAACCACCTTGTGAACATCTATGCAGTAGGTAACGCATGACACCTGTTGTGTGAGGGCTAGTGATGATACTACCTGGCTGCCCAGACCTAGGTAGGTGGAGTAGGGTTTGAACTCGTGACTCACTGGTTGATAGTCATCTCAGTGAGTCAGTTCCACTGTTGTAATCTGTCGGAAACGTAATAAAGAAGTGCTATCTCTGACATCAAAACAATTAATTTGAACTCATGAAAAATGGCTATTTATCGAATATAAGAAAACATTAGACACATCTAAACCGATCTGATCATGAGGGAGAGACATAGTTCAAGGGAAGTAACACCACATCTTTTGGTTAGGAATTAATTTCTAAATGTCTTAAGTGGTATCTGAAAACCTCCAATGTATACGAAACAACTGAATGGACATAAATATAGTTCCAGGTTGGTATTTATCATGGACTGACATTAGTTGGAGAAATATTAGGAACCTTGAAGCACTGGAGAGGTGCTTCGTCCTAGTATGAGACTCTTCGGCAATACACACTCATGACCCCGTGCTGGCGCCAAGATGAGATTCTCCGATGCCCGAATGAGAAGTCGTGACCAGTGGGGCCAAACCAAGTGGGATATGAGGATAATTACTCAATGAAGACATTGGATGGAGGTCGCACCATATCGTGAAGTGATAGAAGGAAATATAGACTATCGAATTCCAACTCAGTGGCTCAATGGTAACATGCTGGCCACAAAACTTGAGGGTACTGGGTCCGATTCCTGGAGGGCGGAGTCACAGGTGCGTACTGCTGAAGGGCCCCATACCAGGACGAAACAGCTATCTAGTGCTCTCAGGGTTCCAGTGTCTCCAACTGATGTCAGTTCATGATGAATACCAACCTGAAATCAATAAAATCCAAATTGGATAAAAATGGTTGTTAGCAGTGGTATACGTTAATATCCCCTTTTTTTAAAATAATGTTATTTACAGTTCACTATGACAAATCTTCTGCAATGAAAAATCAAAGAAATTCGACAGACCAGCGTTTAAAATAACATATCTACACCTCGATACATTGATTAGCATAAGATCATTCCAGCAAAAATTCACATTTCTATAACGACGATACTTTTTTCATTGGTGAGTTGCTGACAGAAAACCTCTAGTACAGTCTAACATCCATTTAGGGAACGAAAAGTTGATTTGTGATTTAAGAAAGGGGTGGACAAGAAAAAAGAAATAATCATGTGACTAATCTTCAACTAAAGCTAAGGGATAGATAAATTCAAATCTGAATCTAATGCGAAACAGCGGCTCTAACTGGTAAGATGACTGCAACCTAACAGCCAACATCCTTGTATATGTACACATAACACAAACACACAGCAGGCTGGCTAAATCATGGTTAACAAGATGCGTATAACATACGTAATGAAAAACAGTAAAGCGAATAACGTTTGGTGTGATCACGTGAACTCTAGTTTTGAATATTGCACATGTTGTTTATCGGTTATAATGTAAACATTTTCATCTACCTATTAGTATCAAAATTTATGATTATGCCCCGTGTTTACGTTATGATATGCCCTGATCATGTGATAATGAGCGTCAAATCGGGTGTAACATTATTATTCTTACTTACATCTCACACAGATCTCGTTTGACGACTTTCATGTTATGTTAAACTAAGAATAACGCTAAAGGCTATTATGACAGCTACTAAGATGGACAATGAGGTTTATCTACTTTATTAAAAAAAGTCTGACTTTAAAGGCCACCAGAGCAACAACTGAAATGACCAATCAGGCTTTAGTATTTCGCCTGCAAAAGTACTTTTCCATAATATGAAGGGAAGTAATTGGCTGTCTAACCAGTTGTTAGGGTGGCTTCAACTCCATCTAAAACACTATCTGGTCAAAATATGGATTTTTTTTTATAGTGCTTGCTAGGTGGGCCATCAGAGTGACTCTTCCATAAAGCGTGAATATTTTCGAAAACGTAGCAGTCTTGTAAACCTTTTTGAAGAGTCTGTGCGGTAAAAACGAGTGACTCTAAAGGACGCCTTAGGAAAAACAAAAACTGCTTAAGACTTCTTTAATTCATGAGAATCTAGAGCGACAGGCTAGCAACTTTTGGGGTGACCAATTATGTTTCTTTGTTTACGGAAAACATCTCGCCTGGTTAACTAGTTCACTAGTTACTAGCCAATCCTAAGACTGGATAAAGAGGGAAGGTTGAGCATACAGCTAGCAACCCTACACCATAAAGACAATCCAGTCACTAAACAAACTTCAAAGCACAAACAAAATGTAAAACATAAAAATAAACTTATTCCTCACTGGAATCGGAGAGACGAAATGACGCCGGTTGGTGAAAGCATTCACGAAGACAATTGACCGATGTGTCTACTCTACTCTCCATGAAAGCAAAAGTAAGCATACGGACATGGAATATTTGCATCATATTTCAATCTAACAAGGCTGCTCAGACCGCAAACGAGATGAGAAAGTATAGCATTGAAGTGCTTGGATTCTGCAAAAGCAGATGGAATGGAAGTGGAATCTCCAAACTGTCAACTGGAGAGTCAATAATCTACTCCAATGTTGTCACCCAGACGACAACCACAAGCACACCCAGTTTTCGAGTGGCTATCACGATGTCCCCATGAGTATCAAAGGCTCTCGTGCAGTAGAAGGCAGTCTCCTCCTGCAGGATCAGGATCATGACAGCAAGATTCAAGTCAAAAGGAAGGAAAGTCACAATCATACAATGTCAATGCTATGCTGTGCACCTACAAATAATGCAGATGAAGAGAAGAAGGAGGAATTCTACAGACAACTGAAATCAGTACTAGACAGGACTCCAATTGGCGACATCAAAATGCATTCTAATGGGTGGGATGACATGAATGCCAAACTGGGAGTGGACAAGACAGGAAGAGAACCAATCATGTGTCGAGAAGCAGTTGAGGAAATGAACGAGGATGGAGAACTGTCTGCAGATTTCTGTGCATTCAACGAGCTGGTGACTGGGGGCGAGACACTGTGTACAAACACAAGGATATTCACAAAGCGATCGACATGGATTTCACCAAATGGAGACACTAAAAATCAGATCGACTTCATCTCAATGTGAAGAAAGTGGAGACGCAGCCAGCCTACTGGACACACGATCAGGTGAAGAAGGGGAGCAAATGTAGGTTCACACCACTCACTATCTAGTGTAAGGAACCTACCTTCAAAATCAAGTTGAAAGCCTTCAGAGAAGTTGGTGGTAGACCACGGTTCAAGTTGAGCACCCAGAATAGAAACTGAACTGAGGGACGACACTACAAAGGACATCTTTGCGTCAGTCAGTCATCAGGACAAAATGGGAGACATTGAGCAACATCCCTTCCTTGTACGGTAACCATACCATACGACGAAGGCACCTAAGAAGCACTACGAGGAATTCTCAATAAGGCTGGGATTAAAGTGACATTCAAAGCAACAAACGCGCTTAGAAACAAGCTTTGTAGGTTAAAAGATCCTATCGATGCAACCAACCAAAACAATCTGGTTTACCACATCCCTTGCAATGATCGCGAGGTCAAGTACATAGGTCAAAGCAGTCGATCAGGGTCGATTAGGATAACAGAGCACAAAAACTTGGCTAAATCAAGATCAGTAGATCCCAATAAGATAAGAAATCTAGAGAAAAACTCGGCTATAGCTCAGCATGCGATGACACACAATTACACAGTAGGGTGGGATAGGGTGACAGTGTTGAGTGGAGGGAGAGATCGATAACCGATTCTTTGTTTATCGAATCAACGCCAAACATATGCAATCGAAATGATGCTGCACCTAAAATGGAACTACACTCGACCACAGTGTCCAAGTTTTACACTTATATTAATCCCTAGAGGAACGTGTGTGGAAGAACACTGGAACTCTATGAAGGCTATGTGGAAGGATACCTGCATAACTGTATTAGGAAGGAAGAAGAAATAGGACAGGGAATGGATCTTGACGGACACATGGAAGCTGATAGAGCATGAAGAGGAAGACGGTGATGGTGAAGCAAAAGATGAACTAGTGCAAGGATGAACAACGACAGTGCAACGTATAAAACACTACACTGGACAAAGAAGTGAAGAAGAGTGCACGGAAAGACAAAAGACACTTCCACAACACGTTGGCAAGCGAAGCAGAACAGGCATCATCATAGAACAGAGTGTAGAATGGCAGTCAACTCAACTCTACCTCAACTTCATCGACTTTGAGAAGGCCTTCGAAAGCATCAACCGAGAAGCAGTTTGGTAGGGAGCTGCTTCAACACTATGGAATACCACCAACGTTTATCAACCTCATTCAACAGCTAGCTATATGAAGACGCCACATGCCAAGTATGCCAAGTAATTCACAATGAGAAGCTTAGTGATGCTTTTGAAGTGAAGACAGGGGTGAAACAAGGCTGTCTACTATCACCAATGATCTTCCTGATTGTGGTTGACTGGACTGGATCATGCAGCCATCTGTGAGGAGTGAGAAGATGGGCATACGCTGTTTGATCGAAGAAAAGATCCCAGAAGAAGATTTGGATTTCGCCGGTGATTTGTGTCTAGTATCCCACAAAATCGAAGATCTACAGGCGAAAACCAACAAGTTGACAGAAGAGGCAGCGAAAGGAGACGGGACAACAAGTGAATATAGAGAAGACAGAGGTGATGAAGATACCCAACCAACAACACCACCACCAACAACAAACTCCAATCACCATCAACAGGAGAAACCTAAAGGAAGTAGCCTCCTTCACTTATCTAGGCAGCACTGTCTCAACTACAGGCGGCGGCACAGACGAGGATGTCAAAGTCAGTCAGGATCGGAAAGACAGCAAGACAGGCTTTCATTAGCCTGAAACCAGTATGGAGATCTTCTGCACTCAGCATGTGGAACAAGATCCGGATTCTCAACACCAATACCAGTCAAGTCAGTGCGTCTATGTGATGGCTTAGAAACTTGACGTATCACGAAAAACATTTCCAGCAAACTACAGATATTCATCATCAACAGCTGCCTACACTGGCTCGATACTGAAGATCAGATGACCAGAATAATAAGAATAAGCAACGAGGAACTCTGGTATGGCGCCGAACCAACCAAGAAGCTATCGCTGAACAAATATGTAGAAGGAAGTGGAGATGGATTGAATCGGCATACACTGAGAAGGCTGATTGGGGGCATCATGCCCCAGGCCATGCACTTGAGTGGAATCCAAAGGGGAAACTACGAGTTGAACATCCGAGGATGACATAGAGGAGATTATGTGAGGAGGAAATGAAGGGTTGTGGGCAGTCGTGGCACCAGGTTGAAAAGACTGGCGAGAAGAGAGTGGAATGGAGGCGTGCTGCTGAAGCGGTATGTTCTACTAGGAACCCAAGGGAAAAATAATAAATGTTTTTTTTCGGAGAAACTGCGTCTCTGGCTGTAGTACCGAAACGGGATTGGTTACCTCAGCAGTTGACCTTTGTAAACGCCCGAAATCTGGAGTAACTTCAAAAGCTACGCTAGCAACTGCTGAAATAACCAATCAAGCTTCAGTATTTCGCTTGGGAAAGTACTTCTCCATAAAATAAAGGAATGTAATTGGCTATCTCGCCAGTTGCTAGGGTGGCCTTTAAAGTCACTCAAAATCTGGTTTCCCAGCCAGATGAAGAAACCTAACTGGCTGCTTAGATCGTTTCTAGGGTGGTCCTTAAAAGCATTCGGTAAAATAGATTTACAGACTGGGGTTTGAGCAACACTTATGTTCGAGCCCGCTGTTTTTTTTAACTGCTTATGATGTTAAACTGTTCAGGCTTGTTATCAACCTAGAGATTAGTAATAAGAGTAATAATGACAAGAGAAAAAGTGGCGCCCACACACAGCTTCCTTTGCTGGATAATGAACCACGTTTATGTTGGTTGGCTGTATAAACACCTAGGTAGACAGAAAGGGAACTAAATCATTGACCTTTCAGTTGTATATCGTGTGCCGAATCTAACGAACCCTGATTACCACATTATGTTGCCTGAGTAATTATCGACCAGCAGACTGTACAGTGGCCATCTCAAGTTTTATTCTTCGTTCGCTCTCTGTGTAATGATCTACCAGTAACACGTTATATTTGTATCCACTATTGTTTCTTCACCATTGAAAAAAATCAAAAATAATTGGATTAAATATATCTTGAGTATTTTTACGTGGTATTAGTTGGACGCAAAAAGTCGGCAGGAAGCCCTGCTCGACACCTAGGTTTCGTGTTTGTGAGTACTCGTCGACTGTCAAGGCGTACGCCCAAACCCGATGAAACTGATGTCCCCCCCCCCCGAATGAGATTGGAACGCGAACCATCCAGTGCTGCAGTCAGAGAACTGACCACTGAATTATCCGGGTCGAGATTAACAGTCTGTAGGACTGGATTCAGAAAGCAGTAATTAACAGTAACACATCATGGTTAGCTTATAAGGACCACCTGTAAAAGATGCATTAGTTTGTTTTGTTTGTTTGTTTTAACTTGAACTGAAGAGTTTTTTGCGCCTTCAGATTCAGCATCAGATTGTGTGGAGCTGTGGGTCAGTGGTTTAGGAAGATAACTGTCAACTACCTGGGTGGTGGGTTCAAGCCCCGCTGCACCTACCAAGGTCTGGGTAGCCAGGTAGTACCACTAGCCGTCACAATATGTGTAGCTCACTGCAGGGATGCGCACAGAGTGGTTGAGTAAGTTTCGTTCATGCTAGGATGTATCAGTGGACTGCATAGCATTTATACGAAACTAAATGGATTATTTTGTTTACAAGCCAGTTTATTAAGCACTTCACAGTAAACTCCATAAGAGTAATGAAATTTTAGTTATACTGTAGTATTCAATATTACGGGGACTTTAGCAGTTTACCTAAGGAAATAGGAAATAGCAGACCACTTACTCCGCATAGATCTGCTAGTGGTAGAAGGCCTTCTATGCCGATTTGAGCCAATATCCCGAGTGCCAAACAAGCAGGACGAAAGCGATACACTTCTAGGGAACACAAAGCAATCTCCATAAGTGCTCCTAAACGTTTGTACAAGAAGCTTCCACGAGTAATATCCTTCTGAAGAGTTGTTACAGTGTCCTTTTTCAGCTCATCTGATTTTTGTACACCTGAGGCTGGCATATTTGTCTCTGTATCTTTTTCTTCAGAGGAGTTCTCTTCATCATCTGACCGAGGTGTATAACTGTCCATACTTGTCACACTATCAATCGATTCATATTCACTATCTTTAGGAGATTTGGTGACGCAATCAATGAAAAGTTGCAAAAAATCGAATGAATTCACGCCATCAAGATCATGCGACAACTTGGAGGCAAGGATTTCCTCCATACGCAGTAAATCAGCAGCGTTACCACCACAACGAGTAACATGTACTAGTGTTTCTGGATCGGGTAATATAGCATCCTACAAAGAAAGGGTTTATTTTAAAGATAAATATCTAGTAGTACACTATTCAAAGTATCACACACTGGTTTGTATGTGCTAAGTATGAAAAACGACACTACAACGAAGTCTAGTCAGTCGTCTTGTTTCTAATCTGTTTGAAAATATGTAATCGATCTATTGATTGATTATACAGATAATCTCAGTAGTCAATCAGATGAATCAATAGGATCATTTGAATCAAAATAAGTTGACGAGTTGACTTAGCTATAGTTGTGTTAAAACGCTTTAGTAGCCTTATACATAGAGAAATGTATACACCTTTGTCAAGGTCTACATCTAAATAGTTAAGAGAGTATGTCTATTATTATATTACGAAAGACTAAGTTGACTACTTAACTTGACCTTCGATTTTAATAGATTATAATGTCATTTGAAAACTGCTTAGTGAACTGTTGTAATCTAGTCACAGTCAGAAATGAAAATGCCTTTGGGAACATTAATCATATCAATTATATATTCACATATGACAGACAAAAACGGTGTAGAACATTGTACACAGAAGTGTATCATTTCACACAACTAAGCAAGAAGTAAGTAGAAAAAGAGTGGGATTAAAGTAGACAAAAGTGCATGGGAGGAGAATGAATTTGAAAAAATGAAGGTTAGTCATCAAAATGCTTTAACTTTAGAAGACATCTAAACACCAATCCTTGTTATCTCAGGGAGGCAAACCAAGTAGTCTACACCTCTCTACGTAGTTTAGAGTACCATACAGAGACTTCATAGAGTGATGGCATAACTGAAGTGTTTATTACTCAATGCCTAACCTCAACAATGTTTACACAGTGATCCTAGCATACGTGAGGAATGCTTCCAAGAAATCTGTCGTCCAAAAACCTGTAATGTTTCCATATTTTCTACTTTTGATGTCCATATCTCACAGCTTCGTAATAGGATTGAGTGGACTGCAGCCCAATATACTGAACCATTAATAGCTGAAAATGCGTCAGCTGAAGTAACTCCCAAAAATTAAGTGAAGTAGTCGATACATTCAACCACTTTACTACCTATCATCACACCGGCAGGGGTTGCAGACCGGTCGTGAAGCATCATTTTACTTATGAAAGGTGCGAAACGCATGCACACAGCTTTCTGGTCAGAACGTTTAGAAAACTACACCTTTTCCGAATTCTTTGTTCGTCTGCGTACTCCAAACCATCCAGGGAGTGGGTTAATCTCTGTGAAGTCGGAAGTACCTGAGGTCCAGCTCTTTAGTACTCCGCTAATGAAGTTAAATAGGAGGGCGGATAGGGGGCAACTCTGGTGGACGCTATTAGTTATCGTCACTCCGGATGACAACTCAAAAGCCCTAACATAGAGGTGTGAATTTGAGTAAAGAGCTATGACTGGTATAATATACGTGCCTGTTACTTCCTTCACAGCCAGACACTACTACAGTGCCTTCAGATAAAGACACATGGCAAGTGTCTGATGCCCGTAAGTATGCGTGTGTTCTAAAACCTTTCAAAAGAAGTACATTTTATAGATGAACCCTAATTCAGGACCCTGTTTCCCCTGGTTTTCTTGAGATTTTGATTGTCTAGCTCCTATTGGGCGTCGGACAACTATGAACCTTAGCATTTCAAACACAGTGTTGGTCAGATTGAGATTGCCGTGGCTATTACATAAAGACTTCTCTCGTTACTTATAGACTGAAATGAACAGATCTAGAAGAGTCTAGTAGGATTATCTTTATTCAGATATACCACCTACCTAGTACCTCCCTCCCCTCCATTCTGGTGGTAGACCATCAATTCTCGCTCTACTGGATCGTCCTAAGTTAAAAATATCATATAAGTAAGTTTTAATATAACCACAGCGTGTTTACGAAATCAAAAGATTTTAATGAACGTTTCGCTGTGCATGCCATAGCTTATTCAGCAGAATATTCAGACTTTTATTTAACACACCAAACTATATACTGTCAAATGACGCATGTAGGAAATTCTGTTTTTACGCCATCTGTTGAAGGACCTGTGATATACACAGCGAAACGTTCACAAAAATCTTTTTGACTTACTAAACACGCTTGGATTATATTAAAACTTACTTATAAAATGACTAAACCTGACTCGACGCTCAACTTCTTTCAGGACATTCATAACAATTATGGTCTGGATGTTTAGAGTCTAGGTTAAAAATAGCCTTATCAACTTCGATGAGCATTGGAGAACCGACATCTACGTCCCATTCAGCTGGACGCTGAGCACCTGGAGGATGACTGTAAGCCAGCGAAACTGTTGTTCAAAGTGTTCGGTTCAACGTTCTAGCGGCCTTGCCTGAGAGGTTATCAAGGACTTACCCTTTTCGGCGATGGTCTCTCTCCAAGCACCATTTATCTGCCAGTATAATGCGTATACAATGTCGATAGGAGGCGGCGTACAGAACGTTTACACTAGTTTACGCGCAACAAGTCATTCCACTGATTGACACAATCACATCTTGTGTGCTAGCTACAACCAAGTTAATTATCATAATAAGTATTCAGGCAATATCGAGGCATTCGCATAGGAACCCATATACCAATCGAGTATATCAACAAATAGTAATAACTAACACCTGTTGTACAAGACGTGCCTATCATCACTCAGTGGCCTAGTGGATAACGCTTCGATGTTTGAAGCGATGGGTACGAGATTTGATTCTCAGTAGGAACAATATCACTCACTGGGGTACAGGTACACCCAACTGGCGAAACGCGAGTCCTGGATTCATCTGTTAGCCACAACCAAGTAAACTACATACATGTGCCTGTACATTTGCTAATAAACAACAGATGAGACGCAGAAACTAACCTAACAGTTGAAATGTCGAAAATTGTTAAACCTTCACACTAGGTTGTAGCCTGAGTCAAAAAAAATCAATACACCTAGGGTAATAACTCGAGAGATTTCGTGTGAGACCGAATTGTTTATGCACTGTTTGCAGAAGTGTGATTTCGCTTACTTTTAAGAAAAGGGTAAATAATTACAATTCTGCTGTGTGCGTGTGTGTGACAATGAGAGGGATACGACCACGCACAACAAGTATGAAAACATGTCCACATATACAAAGGTAAATGAATGCACAAAGCAATACTACAAATTTGCTGGTGGGTTGTTTTTTCGATAACAAAAGGCTATTCATTATATCTCCACTAGTATGCAACAGAAGAATTTGACAAAAACAAACAGGTGCAAGACAACTTCAGCTAGGCAGCGGAAGTATACACTTCAAAATGATATCAATAAACCTCCGAACTAAATAAATCTAGTGCCCATTGGTGACTAGCCTCAACAAGTGATTCCCCAAGTTCTAATGTGAAATCGTGACCAGTAGGGCCAACCAAGTCTGATATGAGGACAATTACTCAACGACCGCATTGGATGAAGGTAGGGCTGTATCGTTGACTGGCAGAAGTAAGAAAGGTGGACCACTGGATTCCGACCCAGTGGCTCATTGGTAACGTACTCGCCACGGAACATGAAGGTCCTGGGTCCGATCCCTGGCGGGTTCATGAGTGCGCACTGCTGGGGAGTCACATGCTAGGACGAAACAGCTCTTCAGGGTTCCAGTGTCTCTCTAACTGATGTCAGTCTATAATGGATACCTGCCTGAAATCAATAAATTTCGACTTTCTAACACAAGACTCAATTTTATATCTTATTTTAACGCCCACGCCCAGCCTCCTGCTCTTCGGTTACTGTTTAAGCCATTTTTAGAAGGCATCACTGTTATGCAAATAACAGTGTAAGTTACTTTGAAGAGGCTCATTTATGCTGCAGGTTGAGTTCTTCAGTCCAGTAGGATCTATATCGCATGCAAATTCTACCCATATTTTCTGTGCCATGTTGCCACTCAAAGACATTACTGTGAGTAACAGAACAATGACCCTAAGTGGTCACTATCAAACTACTCCCGGCCGATGCTTCTCTTATTTTCCAAGCTTTATCAATGTTTGGTACAGTACTTCTCTTAGTTTTGTGACCTCAAGTCATGAGCAAGTCCACCCAGTTACATTCATTACTATTCCATGTTGTTTGTCATACTCAACTCGATTTGTTTCCACTGCTTTCCCTCCTCTTACCGTTCATCACCATCGATTTCGTTATCTCCGGCTGCTTCCTCCTATGTAGATATTGGGTATAGTGACTTTAAAAGATACGCAAACACACTATGCATTACTTCGGTTATGACTGTCTCTATCTGAGTTACCAGCTGGCAAATTACGTCTTAAAACTGTGAACTGCTGTTCAAGGTTATTCCTTTTACTTAGTGACTTAAACAGTTAAACTAAGAGATCCGGAGCTCAAACCGCGCTCCACTCACTTCGACCACGACAACCTGATACTTTCGTAGGTTCTCATACAGTAAGTATGAATTTAAGCGTACTACGCAAAAGTGCACGAGTTATGCAAGTCACGTCAAATGGTTTAGAACAACTCTGTCAGTTGAAATAGATGGTAATGTATGAACCATTTTGGCTACAACAATTGCTAAAAAGCATCTCCAAAGCTTTCACAACACATGAATGAAAGGTACAATCAGACTTAAAAAGCAAATTCTCCATTCAGTTTCTTACTAACTTTCTTGGTAGTACCATTTGTTGTATTTTCTTAGTAATCTTGAACAAATATATAACTAACTCTTCTCTCATTACCACATAAACTACACAGATGACGTGCATAATTAATGCTTAGTCCTCTCTAATAATCATTATGCACTCCGATTCCTTGGGGGTTCAGTTCACACTTACCATACCTGGTGACTCAAATATTCCAATGATTCACACATGATATCTTTTCTGATATTAAATTGTCCTGAAAACTACATTTTTGTGCATAAAGTCTGTGTGTAGTTTATACTTTAAGACTACTATTGAACTAAAAACGAAATATATGCACATCCTGTATTGCATTTCGTACGATTAAGAAAGTAAATACGATCCACAGAACAACCTTCAAAAAGTGAACTAACTATTCACACGTTTGATATTAATGATAGATAGTGGAATCTACGACGGGCGTTCCATCCTATCAGACGACTCATCAGCTGTATGCCTCCCAGTGAGTGAAGTTGTCCCCATTGAGACTCGGTCCTGGGGGATTCACAAACCACAACACCAAAGAATATACTATACCCGTCGTAAAAGGGGTAGCTATCGTGACTCAGTGGTCTAGTGGGAGGAATCGATCCTGAGTTCGGATATTAGTGGGAACAACATGGCTCCCTAGGAGCCAGGTACTTCCAGTTGACGAGTCCCAAATAGGACGAAACGTGCGCCTTGTATTCAATTGCTAGCCACTACCCACCATTAACATCAACTTTGACAATCCTGGCAATATCGAGGCGTCTGCACAGGAGCCCGTAAGTCAATAGTGGTCGACCAATTCGGACCAATCAACGATGGAGATTCACAAACTATAACATCAAAGACTTCATATATCTGTTTGTAAATAATGGTTACACAAAAGGCTCACATAATTAACTGACACAAAGTCAAATGTATCCCAAATATGCACAGACTTCACAAAAAATATTGGAATACGAGCAATTTAGGGTCGAATAGAACATCTTGAAGAATAAAAGTTAAGGATAGATCGGATCATATTGATGTCAGCTGATCACAACTCAAAAGTGAACTGATGATAAACCTGAATCCGAGATAAAGACATTGATGATAGATTCATAAAGTGGCGTGATTGAAGTAAAACAACCTAAGATTGGCTAAATGCTAGGGTAGTTTTGGTTTTAAGTTACTCAGAACCGACCGAAGTATGCTAATTGCTTTTCAATGACAATGTAGTGATTTACAAACCATTAGATGTGCAGTAAGATTTAAAAAGTAAAACATAGGGTTACAAGTAGAAAACACCACACAATACATGCGGCTGGACGACTTTGGATTTACCTAAATCCCGATCACAAATAAATGAGTGATACAAACCATCCCGGTATTACGTAACAGGCCGTAAGCCATATGTAATATGTGAGGAGGTTTTAGTTACTACCCGGCTGTCCAGGTTGGGCTCATAGATCGTAGGTGCCTACATAGCATGGCCTGCATTTGGTGGAATCACCGTGTAAACAACGTCGAGGTTGGGCGAAGGATACCAGGTAAGAAAGGGAAGTCACTTGATGAGGTTGTGAACCTAAGTTGACTGATGACATGGACATTTGTCGCGTATCTCGAGTCACCGCCTACCTCGATGTGACATGCTAGCGGAAGCTGGACTAGGTTGGAAGAGGGTTAAGGGTGGCCAGAACAACTCGTGTCACTAGTTCATGAAGTCCCTGACTATTGGTCAGATCAGTGTTGGGAGATGTAGACTACCTACCTGACTGGAGTCCGCAAGACAACGGGAATCAGTGGTCGAGAATTCTTGGTGATATGGCTGAAAATCGGTCACAATGGTGCAGGTTTATTCACTCCTTGACGTCTTTTGAGGTTTGAATATTTGCAATTAACTTGAGATTGTTGATCATCTCACACAACTCTATCTACTTTGATATCACTCTTCCTCTAGCCTGTTGTTCTGTGCATCCTACTGTGAAATGTGGCAATTTGAAATGATGCACTTGTATGAGAGGTTCTACGTTGATCCTGTCTGTCTACACAGGTTGAAGATGGAGCTGAGTTTATATCTAAGACTTATATTAATCAGGTAAGTGCTTAGTTCATCTAGCCACCAGCGTGGTTGCAGTTAACACTGTCATTCACCAAGATTCTTTGCTTACACCGTACAGCTCATGAAAAATATCCAGTAATGCTATGCAGCACCTAATCGACATAATGCTGAGAGTTGTTTGATATGACATGGTTGCATTAGATACTACTTTATTGTGATGTAATGCAGGTTTGTGCATTAAGAAATGAACTACACCTATTGTATTAGGGGGTGATGATATTATCCGGCTGCCGAACCCCCTTAGAGTTAACAGGGTTTCAAAATGTGACACTGGTTAGAAGTCAACGGCTCAAGGTAGTAAGACACTCCCTTAGGTAATGTTACAAATGATAATGCAGGGTGACTATATGCAATTCCACTTCGTTTTTCAATTCAGAGGTTTATGACAGCTGGAGATAGTGACGCCATTTTATATAGATATAAAGGTGTAGACTGTATTCTCATAAGACTACACTTTACTAGGAGAGAGATAAGATAGTGCTGTGATGCTACAGAACGTGGAAATCTAAACTTAGTGACCAATTGACTGAATGCTTAAAATGCAAAACGACCGCACCTTAGTAAAATGGGAAAATCTAGAAACAAAGAGCTAGTTACATTTCTTGACTTGAGTTTGTCAGTTGAAACGTTTATGGCGGTTTCTCACTGGGGCTCATACATAATAGGCATATCAAATAACTGGTTTTCTGTTCAGACGCTCGTGATCACCCTAAAGCATATAACAAGCCACTGAGAGGTCCGGTCCTTTGGGATATGGGTGAATTCCTGGATCATATACTTCTCACTTTCAAAGTTTACAAAATTGATTTCATTATCAGACTTGAGATATGATGATGATGATGTAGTCCCATCAGATAAAGCTGCCAACAAAAATATGATCTCGCTAGAATTTGATACAGCGTGAAAATGCATTCCCTACTTCTAAATCCGGAAGTGCTGCTTTAAAATTAGTCTGCAACAACCCCTATTTTACGACAGAGTATGAAGTAAGAGTGAAAATGACTTAGCGTGACAATCATTTCAACTTCCTGAAAAACTGCATGATCTAGTGGGGTTGATGGTCGCCGATAACTCGGCACAGATACTAACAGCCTACTTAGCTTATTTTAACTTGCATCGTTTTCAATGTAGACGAGCTATTTGAATGGATATCCATCAATTAAGGATAAAGTGCCTTGTGTATCAGTGTGCTGCTCTAGATAATCAATGAAACATGAGTCTCAGAGGGTGGTGGTTATCTATTAATCACTGTTACGGTAACCGTGCATGTAGTGAAATGATTATTACCAATATTATACGAAACGCCTTCCAGATCATCAATGCCAATTTGAATGGAAGCATGAAGAAGGATATCTTGAGATCCACGAGATAATGGGAAATGACGCTTAGAGACGGTGGGCAGTATAACTAAAAATAAGTTGCACTAGTTAAGACGCATTCACATCTCATTTAGATTTCGAACACATTGTTATCATTATTAAACCATTCTCAACTTTAATAATGTTTTCCTTGCATGTTCTTCTTTTCTCCCAATAAATGGAAAAAGCTTCATATGTATAACTGCGTATTCAGTAAACCCCATAATGTTCTTATTTCATTCTTATATCAGAAGCACTGTCCTCAGATTGTTGACTGAGGGATCAAATAAAGATCGTGATGAGCGAACGACACAGAATTAAAATGAGAATCAACTAAAAGCAGTAGTATTTACATACCTTGTTATTTGAACTGTTCAATTTGCATACGGCACAATACGAGGCAGCAGCTACACAAGCCATGTATTTAGGCTTGACCTGAATTTTTTCAAAAAACACAAATTCCGTTTTAAGGTTCGCTAACAACGAATGTGAATTTTATATGACTTCTGGTAACGCCAAAAAAATGTTAGAATATAAAGTAAAATTTCACAATACTGATGAAGGACTTCATAACGATATGTACGACTAAAGTTCAATCGATCAATATCAACATAGGACCAAGCATTACTGCGTGACGGTCCGAGTTGCCACACCTCATATCGGTACATCAAGTAGAAAGGTAGTGAGGTGAAGGATGAAGATAAGAGAAAACAGTCAAAAGAAATATAAAGTACGAGAGGAAAGAAAAGACGAATGACAAAATGGTGAGATTCGGTATAGCGTCGTTAAGATGAGGATAATATGTGTATACATCTGCACCACTGACTTCGGTTCTGAGCCATGTGATCACCTAGAGTCTCCAACCACTAGTTCCTCTTGTCCCGCAGACCCCAACCACCTAGTCTGCATCGCCCCACATGGCTCAAACCAACAGTCAGAGACCTCATACGTTGGTGCCATATTTTAGTCTGGTCACCTCAAGCCTTTTTCCAGCCTGGACCCACCTCAGCCAACATTGTATGACGAGGCAATCGGTGACTGGGCATACGTAGTACGTGTCCCAACCATCTCAATCGATGAAGGTTTATAACCTCGTCTACTGATTTACCTCTTCTCCCCAAAACTCTACACCTGACTTCTGTGTTACTCACATGCTGACACCACGAAATATGGCCTATACTACGAAGGCAACGGTGGTCAATCACTTGAAGCCTCCTTATATATTCCACTTCCAATGGTTATGTTTCACAGCCGTACAGTAACACAGAGCAGACTGCTGTGCAGTACACGCGACCCTTAGTAGACAAACGGATATCACGGCGGCGCCAGAGGTGGCGCAAATTGGCAAAAGCCAATCGAGCCTTTTGTATCCGTGTCGAAATCTCATCGGCAACTGACCCACCAGGGGTTATCCTACTTCCCAGGTAAGTGAAGTGGTCAACACACTCAACCACTTCACTCTCTATTGTTAGCCGCGGCACCGCTGAAGACCAGTCCTGGAGCAAACATTGGTATTTGGGTGGTGAAAACCGCATCCCAAACGTCCTCAAATTCCCACTCAAAGTGTTCAGAAGACTCTGCATCTTGTCAGCGTCTTCGTGTAACAGAACTGTGTCATTTGCGTATTTTAGGTCTAACCAAAATTCTCCTGTGATTAGGTCAACGTCTGTGTAATCAGGTGAGAGGAAAACCTCCATAAGTATATCTATGATAAAATTAAATAAGAATGAAGATAGTGGGCATCCTTGACGGACACCACTCGATGAGTATAGCTCCCTGGACAACTCACCATAGGCTCTAACATGCCCACAAGTGTTCGAGTAGAGAGCCTTCAATAAGGTGATGTACTTGCTAGGCACGCCTTTCAGTGAGAGACATTGATTGCCATAAGACTTCTCGATCAACGGAGTCAAATGCCGCCTTCAGGTCGAGAAATACAGCTACTGTCGGGCGTCTGTAAGCATGCCTATGTTCCAGGACCTGGCGCAGTGTGAATATTTGGTCGACACACCCACGGCTGGGTCTAAATCCTGCCTAGTTTTCGCAGGCTTGCTGTTCCCGAGCTCCACTCAGGCGTCAGAGAATTATAGAACCTAGAGTTTTAGATACTATGTTCGTCAGGCTGATCCTCTGTGGTTATCACAAGAAAATTTTTCGCCTTTCTTGAAGACTGGGATAATCACTGATTTAGACGAGTCAGAGGGGATCGTATTTGATTCCCATATACTAGCTAACACTTCCGTTAACCTAAGAGCACTCTATCACCATTCTTGTATACCTCAGCAGGTAACCCGTCTGGTCCTGCTGCCCTTCCTAATTTCATGTTACCTACCGCTTCCTCAACTTCTTCTAGTGTTTGGGGACCTATCTCCATGTCCCATTCAGGATCCGACTGGATGGCGGGCAACGCAATGGTGGCTGGAGGCCAGTTAGACTGCTCCTCGAAGTGTTCTGCCCATCGTTCCAGTCGTCTCCCCTGAGAGTGAATCGCAGATCCGTCCTTCTCCGCTATAGCCTCACTAACTGCTGTTGATTGTTTCCCCTCAATCTCCTCAATAAGTCTAAATAAGTGTCTATTATTACCGATCGCCGCTGCCTTTTCCATCTCTTTAGCCTTTGCTGCCCATCACTGTTCGCGATCGTTGCGTAGACTTTTCAACAGCCTACTTTTAAGTTGCGCTCGCTCTTCATTGTACAATGACTGAAGTTAGAAAAGAGAACTCAATCTACATGATTTTCACATGATTACTCTTTGAACATTTCTCACAAGCAAATTTTTGTTGAGAACCAGTAAGAATTATCATGATATTTATATTCGTTTTTATTACAAAGCAAGGCTAATCGCTGATATATTTTGGAGTGAACGAACAATATAAGTTTCCAAACCTCTTGAGAGGATCGAAAATAAAACAAAAGTGACTGGGAAGCGAGAACACATTTTGAAAAGATTCTGTAAAAAGTGGAGGTAACTATACCATTAGATAATTGAGTCCATCTGCAGAGCTATCCTAGTTAATTCAGAATGCAAAACCTAGCTAAAACCAAGCCGCAGTTTTTTCAGCTGGGAAGATACATAAACATGAATTAGGTAGGTTGACTCCCTTCGAATAAAAAGAGGTACTGGGTTCGAGCCTCAGTACGAACACCATCAAACATTGGGGTGTAGGTACTTCCAGCTGACGAGTCCCAGAAAGAAACACGTGTCCTGCATTCCACTGGCAACCACAAAGTCAACTTCACAATGAATGCCTGTGTTTACTACAATGAACTAAAAACACCACGGATTAAAGATTGTGAACTACTGCATCAGTAAATGTTACTAAGATTCCGCACTGGAGTAAACAGTGATTTGATACGCATAAGGTATGTTTCAGACACATCAATCAATGAACGTCTGCAACAGCATCAACTAACTTACCTCTTCAATCAGAGATTTTATGCTTAGAGTCTATGTTGTTACTTGGCAGTTCCGCCAAAAACGAATGTTATAAAGGAAATGGTGTTTACAAATAACAGAAGCAATCTCCCATCTGCCACCTTCAATAGTCATGTTTTAAAGGTACCAGAAAGTTCTTTTAGAACTGTTAATCAGTACAACCAGTCCTTGATATCTCCGCTAGAATTACGGATCGTGAAAATGGTGAAAGCTATACGGTTTTATTCTCCGATCATGAACTTCTATATTGTGAACCTCAACCAAGGAGGCTGTAATTTCCCGTACAATCAAAACTGAAAGTAACGGTAAGCAACTGTAATAGACTCATCTAAATCCCTTTAAAACTTCTAGCTTACAAAAGTTAGTGAGCATCTGGACACAATGAGGACGTAAGACTAATGGTTGTATGATGTATGAATACACTTAGCACACATATCCACTACTACTTTACTGTTACGCACATACAGATGTGACTGAATTATTAACTTGTACTCACCTTAACTTTAACAATGAAACGATCGATCAGATTGACAGCTTTGCAAAATGTTTCTGTAGACAGATTGAAGAATGAATTGTGCATAAAGCGGAGATTGCTCACTGCTTCATTCCGGAGAACAGCGTCTACTTTATCATCTACTTCCTAAAGATGGAATTCAAGAAGAAAGAACGACATAACAGACACTTTATCGTCATACTATCAATATTTATAACAAATGCTGAGACTAGAGAAACGTAAACAAAGATTGAGTACAGTGAATCCTACTGCTTTTGGATGGTAAACTGAAATCTTGCTTTGGATCTGAACGAAAAGGTAATGTACACCTTATTCATAACACCGATTATACAACCTCTAAGGTAATGACACTGAAAACCTTGCTCATGACGCCAGCAAGATATCTATCTATCTATCTATCTATCAAAGAATGAGAATACTGCATTGCAGTTCATTTTGTTCTGTTATACGGCTGGTCGGTAGAATGTAGAAGACATGAAGGGAGTACAAGATTCTGATAATGTCTTCGTAGCGTGGTTTATGTTTGGCGGAATCACCGTGTAAACAACGTCGAGGTTGGGCGAAGGATACCAGGTAAGAAAGGGAAGTCACTTGATGAGGTTGTGAACCTAAGTTGACTGATGACATGGACATTTGTCGCGTATCTCGAGTCACCGCCTACCTCGATGTGACATGCTAGCGGAAGCTGGACTAGGTTGGAAGAGGGTTAAGGGTGGCCAGAACAACTCGTGTCACTAGTTCATGAAGTCCCTGACTATTGGTCAGATCAGTGTTGGGAGATGTAGACTACCTACCTGACTGGAGTCCGCAAGACAACGGGAATCAGTGGTCGAGAATTCTTGGTGATATGGCTGAAAATCGGTCACAATGGTGCAGGTTTATTCACTCCTTGACGTCTTTTGAGGTTTGAATATTTGCAATTAACTTGAGATTGTTGATCATCTCACACAACTCTATCTACTTTGATATCACTCTTCCTCTAGCCTGTTGTTCTGTGCATCCTACTGTGAAATGTGGCAATTTGAAATGATGCACTTGTATGAGAGGTTCTACGTTGATTCAAACTGTGTCTCTGATGATATAGCCTAACAAGAGGGAACGAACAAGCGCATTCAGATTATAACATTGGTGTTAGAATTACTCTTATAATATGCGTGCATAAATAAATTTTAATCACTGAGAAAAAACTGATAGAACACTTACTGGATTCACGTAGTAGAGGAAGGCATTGTTTGGTTGATAAGTATACTCTTTAGAAAGCAGATCTTGCAGACGATCATTGTTGAATAGTGACAGCTACAGGTAACAAAGAAGGGAATTCAATGTGATTAAAAATTAGAACTAGTTATCTCTTAGTACTCCGCGTTGCATAATACGTATAAGTGAGCCATAAGCAGTGCAATAAAGTTAACAGTAGATTCTAAGTCGATTCACTGTCTATATATTCAGAACGTGGAAGCATCTCCAAAGCAGTTACAAGGAAATTTCGCACCTGGGTTAATGAAGCTTCCATAAATATTTGCTAGTGATGATGAATGACACCAGTAAAGTTATGATGCTAGTGTAATCAAACTGCTTCTCAGAATATATTGATAATGACTGGCATCATGTAGGAATGATCAATAAACAGCCAATACCAAGAACGGAAAACTTTCATTGATCCCAATGTTCGAAAAGTCTATGACGGTAGCTTCCATACTAATTAATATTAGGACCAGCTGACTGAGACATGTACTACGCATACCTAGTCCCATCCACCTCGTTGCATTGTTAGCTGAAGTAGGTTATAGGCTACAAAACGTTTAGAGGTGACCAGACCAAAACAGTATCACTCATTAACTGTTGGTGTAAGTCGTATGGGAAAGTTAGCTTTGTGGTTGGGATCTGAGTAACAAAGGAAAACAGGGGGTGGAAACAGTGTTTGGCCCAGAACCAGTTTCAAGTGTAGTGTAAAAATATATTATCTTCGTCTTATAGTCGTCGTGCCAAATTTCACCGGTCTCATTCCTCCTCAATCTCATTTCACGAATTTCTATCACTGTTGACTTTTTTCATTTTAATTTAGCTTTTTCATTTGTATGCCTACTACATTGATTGATAAAGTGTGACTTGGATCGCTACGCAGTAATGCCAGGTTATACGTTAACACTGACTAAAAATCTCTTGCTAGTCTTCAGTTACTTTATAAACAGCAAGATAAAATGTTTTTGTACTAGTAACGAACATAAGATGAACACATTGTATAATTACACTTACTTTGCAAAACATACGTGTATGACACATCTTGGAAACTTCGAAGCGATGACCATTTCTGAGAATTAAACACTTTTGACGAAGAAAACATGCTGCTGGAGCAGACGCTGAGATATCGTCCAACTTCTCACTTGGTTGACAACAGTGCTCTGGACGCGGGCGCTTATAGTCCGAAAGCATGCAGAAGGGATATTCCTTTAAAGACAATTGGTGAACCGGTTGCCTCACATCAACTGTATCATTTATTATAATGTTAGGTGACTGGGAATCACTCCCACTGTACACAACTAGTGATGAATCACATTTTTGAGCCCTCCGTACGCGGCTAGGATACCGTTTGTATTGAGAGATGCTACGTTTAGATGCCCTGGGAAAGCCAAATCTGGATCTGCTAGTATAAAAAGGTGCAGCACAGCCGCTGTTATTGGAATGCGTCATTTGGGAAGAGAATGATGGTTGGTGTTGACTGAAGACTTTAGCCATGATTTTTTTATTCACAGGATGTGACAATTGATGCAAATTGAAATCAAAGTATGAAAATATATATCAGCTGGAGCGACTGAAGATAACTCAAAATAAAGCAAAGTGATCTTTCTAAATTCTGGAGTAAATTGAAGTGTACACAAAGGCAATAGGCTGTAAACAAATAGAAGACGACCTGAGGAATTGTTGGTCGAAAGTAAGGGATACTGTGGCGTCCAATATATGCAACAATGATTACGCTCACAAAGACCAATGTCTTTTTACACCAATGAGCAAATTCTATTCTAAACCAATAAAAATAAAGGTCACCTATAATGGAATCTCATCAGAAATATCAACCAAACAGCTAGCGGTCAAAACAAATCAATGAAGTATATATAACCAATCACAAAGTAACAAATCGTTTGACCTTCAATAGTAGTAACCAAACAACAGACGAGTTTTCACAGAATCTTGATTTGCAATATTGGTTGTTCTGTTTATTCGTCAAAAAGCACAAGTCGACCTTTGTTAAGCTGATAAACTTTTTGTTTATTTTCGTAACCACGGCAAGCGACAACCAAATGATTAAAGTCGTAGTTGATTCTGCTCAGTATATGGCAGGCTGTTGGGATATGATCCTACCATCCAGTGCTCATTGTATTTCATCTTACTCTGCGTAAACGGTATGATGCATAGCCTCGAGTGAAAAGAGGTTTTCTAAGCAACAGCAGATTGCGATAACGTTTCTCCGTGTAATTCAATTCAACAGCCACAGACGTACCGTTTCGTAAGCCTTAAAGGTACTACCTGGCTACCAACATTTTTGGAGACGCAGAATTCGGGCCTTTGGTCTATTCGTTGAAAGCGTCTTGTCAACAGAGACAAACCAAAGGTTTGCTTTGATGTTGGTAGAAAGTTGACAAAGTAATCCAGCTATAAATATGGTGGGAACAGTTTCAACCACAGTATTCAGATACTGATTACTGTAAATTTTTAGGTCTATAACTTATCTGGTAATGAAACAAGTAACCGTCTAATAGTCAGTCGTTAACCAGTATGTACACATCGGTCTCCCAATGGCTTACGGCTTGACTATTCAGCATATATGACTCAGTCGATTACAGGCACTATAATCCATGAAACATACACCAATCGTACAGATGCTCAGTTGAAAACTGAACAGCTTGCTGCTAAAGTCTCTGCCTCTGGGGTCGAGTGGTATAGATTTGTATTTCTGAGATTTGAGATACAGCGTCCTCATGCATATCAAAGAAAATAAGGTCGAAGGTAACATACCGACCGATTCACAGTAACGAACACCATAATACAGAAGACTTCTGCATGTATGCATGTCTGCAGGTATGTATGTATGTATGTATGTATGTATGTATGTATGTATGTATGTATGTATGTATGTATGTATGTATGTATGTATGTATGTATGTATGTATGTATGTATGTATGTATGTATGTATGTATGTATGTATGTATGTATGTATGTATGTATGTATGTATGTATGTATGTATGTATGTATGTATGTATGTATGTATGTATGTGTGTATATATGCATGTATGTATGTATGTATGTACATATGTATATATGTATGTATGTACGTAGGTATGTATGCATGCATGCATGCATGTTTTTATGTATGCATGTAAGTATGTATGCATGTAGGTATGCATGTATGCATGCGCCTACGTATATATATATGTAGCTATGTATGCATGCATATATGCATGTATGTATGTATGTGTGTATGTATGTATGTATATATGTATGTATGTATATATATGTATGTATGTATGTGTGTATATATGCATGTATGTATGTATGTATGTACATATGTATATATGTATGTATGTACGTAGGTATGTATGCATGCATGCATGCATGTTTTTATGTATGCATGTAAGTATGTATGCATGTAGGTATGCATGTATGCATGCGCCTACGTATATATATATGTAGCTATGTATGCATGCATATATGCATGTATGTATGTATGTGTGTATGTATGTATGTATATATGTATGTATGTATATATATGTATGTATGTATATACGTGTGTATGTATATGTTTATCTATGCATATATGCAGCTATCAATGTATGCATGCATGCATGTAAGTATGTATGTATATGTATATGTATATATGTGTGTATGTATGTATGTATGTATGTATGTATGTATGTATGTATGTATGTATGTATGTATGTATGTATGTATGTATGTATGTATGTATGTATGTATGTATGTATGTATGTATGTATGTATGTATGTATGTATGTATGTATGTATGTATGTATGTATATACGTATGCCTGTATGTATGTATGTAAGCATGAATATAGGTATGTATGAATGTATTTATGCATGTATATATGTATGTATGCATATATGTAGCAATGGATGTATGTATGTATGTCTGTATGCATGGAGGCATGTATGCATATACCTATGCATGTATGCACGTAGGGAGGTATGTATGCATATACGTGTGTATGTAGGTATGTACGTACGTAGGTACGTATGTATGCATGTATGCATGTATGTATGTATGCTTGTATGCCTCGAAGTATGCATGTATTTATGCACATATGCAGCTATCAATGTATGTATGCCAGCATGCATGTATGTATATATGCATGCATATGTAACTATGTATGGATGTATGTATATATGTATGTATGTATATATGTATGTGTGTGTGTATGTATGTAGGTATGTATGTATGTATGTGTATGGGTATGTATGTATGCATGTTTGTATGTATGTATGTTTGTATGTATGTGAGTATGTATGTATGCATGTATTATGTATATTTGTATTTATGTATGTATATATGAATGTGTGGATGCATGTATCTGTGCATGTATATATCTGTGTAGCTTTTTATGTCTGCATCTATCGTTGTATGTATGTATTTATGTATGCACATATGGAGCTATATATTCATGTACGCGTGCATGCATGGATGCATTTGCTTATGTATGTATGTATATATGTATGCATGTATGTATGTACATATACGTATATGTATGTATGTATGTATGTATGTGTGTATGTACGCATGTATGTATGTAAGTGTATATGTATGAATCTCTGTATGTATGGATGTATATATGTATTTATGTATGTATATATTTATGAATGTATTTATATATGTATGCATGTATGTGGGTATGTATATATTTATATATGTATGTATGTATGTATGACGTATGTATGTAGGTAAGTATGTATGTATATATGTGTGTATGTATGTGTGTATGTATGTATATATGTATGTGTGTATCTATGTGTGTATATCTGTATGTAGATATGTATGTATATATGTAAGTATGCATGTATGTATATATGTATATATGTGTGTATATCTGTATGTAGATATGTATGTATGTATGTATGTACATATATATGTATGTATTTATGTATGTGTTTATGAATGTGTGGATGCACGTGTCGATATATACATATTACTGTCTATATATTTATGTCTTCATCTATGTTTGTTGGTTTGTATGTATGCATGCATATATGTAGCTATATATTCATGCATGCGTGCATGCATATATGCATGTAGGTATGTATGCATGTATGTATATATGCATGTATGTATATATGTATGCATAAATGAATGTATGCATGCCTGGACGCCTGTTTTTATGTATGAATGTATGCATGTATGTATGTCGTTATGTGTGTTCGCATGTGGTACGTATACATATATGTTACTATATATGCATATATATGCATTTATACAGCATGTATATATGTATGTATGTGTGTGTTTATATATGTTTGTATGCGTCCATATATAGATGCATGTATGTATGTATGTATGTATGTATGTATGTATGTATGTATGTATGTATGTATGTATGTATGTATGTATGTATGTATATATATATGTTTGTATGTATGTATGTATGTATGTATGTATGTATGTATGTATGTATGTATGTATGTATGTATGTATGTATGTATGTATGTATGTATGTATGCATGTATCTGTGTATGTATGTATGTATGTATGTATGTATGTATGTATGTATGTATGTATGTATGTATGTATGTATATATGTATGTATGTATGTATGAATGTGTGCAGATACGTAGCTATGCATATATGTTTGCAGGCATGTATGCATGTGTGTATATATCTATGCATGTATCTGTGAATGCATATATGTATAGATGGATGTATATATGTATGTATGGATATATGTTTGTATGAATGTTCATGTGTACGTGTGTATGTAGGTATGTGTATATTTATATATGTATTTATGCATAATTGTAGCTATGTATGAATGTGTGCACATATGTATGTGTGTATGTATGTATGTACTTATTTAGGTATATTTGGATGTGTGTATATATGCATATATGCAGCTATGTGTGCATGTATGCATGTATGCATGCATGTATGCGTGTACGTACTTTTTATGTATGCGTGTATGTATGTAGGTATGTACCCATATATCTTGCCATGGATATATGTAGGCATGCATGTATATATGTATGTATGTATGTATGCGTGTATGGATGAACGTATGAATGTATTTAGTTATGTACTTATATATGTATGTATGTATATATGTGTGTGTGTGCCTGTATGTATGTATGTATATAAGTATTTATTTACGTATATATTTATGTATGTATGTATGTATGTAGGTAGGTATATAGGTATGTATATATGTATATATCTATGTAGGTATGTATGTATGTATGTATGTATGTATGCATGTATCTGTGTATGTATGTATGTATGTATGTATGTATGTATGTATGTATGTATGTATGTATGTATGTATGTATGTATGTATGTATGTATGTATGTATGTATGTATGTATGTATGTATGTATGTATGTATGTATGTATGTATGTATGTATGTATGTATGTATGTATGTATGTGTGTGTGTATGTACGTATGTATGTATGTATGTATTTATGTATATGTGTATGTATGTATATATGTATGTATGTATGTATATATCAATATATAGATGCGTGTGTCTATGTAAGCTTTTTTTCTGTGTATGTATTTATATCTGCATCTATGTATGTTTGTATGTATGTATGTATGCATATATGTAGCTATATATTCATGCGTGCGTGCATGCATGTATGCATGTAGGTATTTATGTATGTATGTATATATGCATGCATGTTTGTATTTATGTACATATATATGTATGTATGTAAATATGTATGCAGAAAAGGTATGTATGCATGCCTGCATGCCTGTTTTTATTTATGC